TATTTAATCTATTTCTAATAATAAATAAAAAATAGTTCATTTTTTTAGTGAAAGGAATGCGGAAAAAAAAAAAAAAAAAAAAAAAAAAAAAAAAAGAGAAGTTCAGCAGAGCTAAAAGAAGATAAAAGTGCTGAGAAGGAAAAACAGTTATGGAGGATGATGAAGAGCGTAAAGATAGAGCCGACTCAGACCGGGCCTTACAATACTGGGCTCGCAAAAATGAGACAACAGGATTTTAGCTATATTTTTTGGCAAACGGAGAATCTCTGGAGGTTCTTCCCATGAAAATACAAGTCTGATTAACAATTATGTCTAAACAAATCTAGTCAGTGGACAATAATTCAGTCTACATTTGACTTATTCAAATAGAAAAAAAAACATTACAGGATAACCTTTCAAACTGAAGCAGTTTCTTAACACAAAGTAAGTTGTCGTGAATGTTTTTCACCTCTCCATTACATTTTAGAACCGACGACTTTGCTTTGGATTGCGTAGTTTTAATACACATGCTTTCAACTCAAAACAGACATAGCAAATTAGATTAGAAACTTTAAAGATTGTTCTATTGTTCATGTTTTATGCTAATAAAACATGAACAACCACACTAATCCATCCATCCACCCATAAACCACCAGAAGTAAGGATTAAAGTGAAGTACACCCTGGACATGTTGCTAGTTCATCACCCGGCCAACAAAAATGTAGAAAACATTTAGTTTTGCAAAAAAAACCTTCTTAGGAACAATTATGAAGCTTTATTTAACCTAACATGCATGATTCTGGACGCTGCAGTCCAGAATCATGCATGCAGAACCCACACAATCCCATAAAAAATGCTAAAACAAAACTGATTTCTTTGAGCAAATAAAATGTCCTGTAGTCTTTCTAGTTAGGTGTCATTATTGATAATAAATATATTTTCATTCTATGTCCGTATGCAGCAGTACACTGCAGCAGTGGTTTGACCTGGAATGAACTTTCTCCAGCAAATTATAACTTCACAACCTGTTTCTGAAACAAGCTTGTCTGCTCAAAACCTCAACTTCAGTCCGGAGACCCTCCCTTCTCAGAACATAAACGTTTTACACCCAAACTGAGTTATTTTTGGACGTATGGAACAACACAGATAACCCTGATTTGTCTGGAGTTCCTCTCTTATGGTTGGGGTTTTGGTCTAACTGGATTCAGTTTGGAGATGGGTGACTGACCTCAGGCCCTGCACTCTTCACTTACTGGTCTGGAGTCTGCCACGGCTGTGTTTACTCTGCAGCTGTTTTTGGAGGGACATATTTAGAGCAGACCAGACCTGTTATTTCATTCTCAGAGGCCAACACGGGGACTGTGACTGTCTGATGCAATAGCTACAGTGTGCATGTGTGTATACCCTCAGGGGACTAAATCAGGTCAAATCAGCTGCATGGACAGTGGTGAGACTGACACTCTTTGAGTTGAAGGCAACACTTTGTTTGGAGCAGCAGAGTTACGGTCCGGGAGAGCAACCACGCTGGTTCTCTCAAGCGGGTAACTGGAGACTAAAAGCAAACTTAAAAGCTTTTCATTCAATCATTGGGGATGGCACAACAGCTGCGTTGACTTGTATTTAATTAGTGTACATCCATCGTTACCATGACGATCAATAGAGAGGCTATTGATTGCGAGCTCAGAAGAGAATGATTAACCGACGCGACAATACATCTCAAATTAGCAGTTTGATGTACCAAAATACTTTGTTTTGACACTGTCTGGGTATTAACAAGGGAGCAAAATATGAAATAAAAAAATGTAGATGCACTTCCTTTAGTTCAATACAACCTTGGAACAAAAAGTTACATGCAATGCTCCAAAGGACGAGTGACACATCAAACGAATATAGCTGCCTGACATAGAAAGTTAGTTGTGCAAATAGCAAAAGATTCATGATTAACCAGCTGCCCACAGCTGCTTATAAACAACTGTGGGCAGGAATGATTTATTTAAGGTCTCTTCCACATCTTAACCAGGAATGCTAATAATTATAAAAGATTCCATAGATAAATCTAAAATAATTGTCAAACACGTAGCTCAAATACATTCAAAGCCTGAACGGTCGTCAGACTATCGTAACACTGAGGTGTGACAACGATGTGGCTGTCCTGATTAGTGCAAAGCTGAACTTGCTGATTAAGATGGACATGGACTGTTTTTTTTTTTTTTTAAATGTCATTTCTAGTGACATCTAAAGTGAAAGTGAAGACCTATTTCTGCACACATCTATCAAGTGGCATTTTTAAACTAACCGTTTCAAGGCTTGTCTGTAATTTTATAACTAATCTGCAAACCACAGAAAAGTTTTTATCAGACTCCTCTGAATCTTATGACAACAGTGGTGTTTTGTAGAATCAGGAGACTCTCTCAAAGCTCGACAACACCCCAGGGCCTCCAAACACCCCAGATCCCAATCTGACTGAACATCCGGGGTAAATTCCTCAAAAAAAAAAAAAAAAAAAAACCCTGTCCCACGGAAACCCCACCCCACAATCCACAGGTCTTATCTACTGCGTGTGTTCAAATGGGTCTGTGGTGCAAAGTATCACATCTCACAGACCCATGGCAGAGACCTCATCACGTCTACAGCCTGATGGATGCTCCTAACTATAAATGTCTGTTGTTCTTTTACAGCTACTGAATAAAGCCAACAGTGCCAAAAAGAAGAAACAATACAAAAGGAAGTCTGTACAGCGAAATGCTGTTTTGCTCCAAGCATCCCCTCTGTGGGTTTTCATGAGTTTTCTTCCGATGAGATGGAGGCAAGTAGCTGATGAGGGCCATTAAAAACAAAACATGGGGTCTAATGATTCAAGCAAGCACAACCTGGATACTTTTGGAGGATTTAATAGCTAGTTTACTGCTTAATGGTTTCATTCTACAAAAGAAGTACAGATTCTACAGTAAATGGTGCGGTGGAGTGTGTGTGGTGCTGAAAACAAAATATCAATTTAAATCTGTCAGATATCAAATTACAGATGAATTCAGATGTGAAACTGAAACACATGATGGGGAGCTGTTTTGATTAGAGTCAGTTCAACACCAGTAAGCAGCCTCAACCACAGTCAAGATGAATATAATTAGATGGATTAGTGGAAACAAAGCAAGTCATTAATACTTACTGTGTATAGCTCATTTAGCACTTTCATTAAGTCTTCCTGAAGCTGGAAAGCAATTTCCTTGCTCTGCAAAAGAAAAGAAAAACAAGAGAGACAAAATAGTTACACAATGTAAATTTTTTCACACTGCATGAAATTAATACCGAGATATTTTTTTTCCATTGGTGTCCAATTTTATCACAACAAACTCCCTCTTTTAATACACAGATCTTCCAGATTATAAAACAAATTTTCATACGACACAAAGATAATTGTACTTAATAAGAAAAAGCAGTTGATATATAATTAATTAGTCAGGATTAAGATCATGTTTTAAGTGTCCAGTTCCACTAACCACACCCTGGCCTGATTTCTGGCAGACCTGCAGAATTAAAAAGACGTTTTAAAAGAACCTGTCTGACAACACGAAGTAGGCTATTTTATTACTAGATTGACTTATTTCAGATTTTGAGTAATTTTTGCCAAGTTGACTTAAACATGAGATATTATTGTTACAGGTTAATCTAATTGTTAAGGACCGAAGCCTATATTGATATCCAATATTATTACTGCTGTTATGGCAGTGTTCACCAACATTTTACTTTTCCTTTATTTTTTATTATTTAACTACTCAATTAATCATCTGAATAATCAATAGATTACTCAATTACTAAAATAATTGTTTACCCTATTAATAAGTTGCTACTGGAGAAACGGTCAGTGTTTTCTGCTACTGCTGAGGAGAAGTTTCATGCATTCATCTGCTTGATTTGTGACGCAACAAAGGGATCTCTCTAAATATTAAACTGAATGATAATTAAATGCAATAAATGCATCATGAACACAGCGTGGCTTATAGACAAGAGCGCTCAATAGTTTGGACATTACGACCTTACTAACAGCACCGTAAATTGCACAAATGACAACAGCTTTATTTTTTAAAAAGTATACTGGCTTAACTCAGAACAAGACACAACATAACAGTGATTCTCCCCCCCCCACCACCCCCTGGGATTTTCAGTGTGAAAATGGTATCAGTGACTTGCTCACTTTTCCACCCAACAGCAGCTTGAGTTTCACTCCCCACATGCTCAACACATTATTTGGCTGCCACGACTAAGACTTCTTCCCAATATGTTAACTCAATCAGCCGTGCCACAGGCTTGACTCAGTAACACAATCACACACATGCCCACTTTAATGCATCTAGCAGTTGTGGGATACGGTTTTAGCAGTGCTGGACTTGGAGGGACCTTTTTCTATTAATCCAATTGTGGCACTTTCATATTTCCTTGGCACTGACTAAGACAGTGTATCACATGTTTATGAGGTTATGAGTCATGACAATGAATCTTTGATTGCTCCACTGCAGTTGATACCGCAGGCTGGATGTTACCTGGATGATGTTACAGCCTTGGCCGGCACGTCAGCTCTCTTTCTAACGCTGTTATCCTCAGACAAATCTCATTCTGGGAGCCGCTTGGCGCAAAAGGCTCTGTGAGGGTTTTCTGGGGGTAACACGAATCCTACTGGAGAATAATTGTACTTCTGATCAAAACATGGAATGCACTGGCTAAAAACTCATGGATTCTCACTGGCTTCAGTGTCCACACACTTTTTTCAAGCCAAAATAAACTTTGTTTGTTTTAGGATATTATGCCATCGACCAAGACAAAGTAGTGTGTAACTGTGAGGGCAAATAAGTTTGTTTTTTGTTGTTGTTTTTTTACAAATACAACCCTTAAAAGTATTGCAAATGTTTGTATTCACTGCAATACTCCCAGAGTATGATTTCACAAGCTCTACTCGAGACATTTGCCAAATAGCTCATGCTAAATCAAGGACGGCAAACAAACCTCTAAACTTATTATGACCTTCTTTCATAAAATTGCTTCCTTCTTGCCACTCCTCCATAAAGCCAGATTAGTGGAGGGCTCAACTCCAGTCAACAGATGATGACACCTGACCTGTGGATCTCTGCAGTTCTCCCAGAGTGTGTCTGCTGCTTTAGGCTCTCTTTGGCCTGACCGTCAGCTTAAGTCAGCGGTGTCAAACTCAGCTACATTTTGGGCCACAACAAAAATCTGAATGTTCTTAAATGTCAGGATCTGTGTTTTTGTTTTGCTTTTCTTTTGGTTTGAGTTTTTGTTTTGTTGGAGCTCCATCCTTC